ACTGTTCGGTGTGAGCCAAGGCTCTGTGTTGAAGACCGTACTGTGACCTTTAATGGTTTACTTTTATAAATTTTGACTTGGATGGAGAGTTGTCTCATTGGCACTCATACCACATCTTCTTATATCTATTGAATGTTTTTATCACATTGAAATTTTCATTATTCTATTTGCTACATTTTGTAGTTGGGGAATATAGTTTTTGACCATTCCTTATGTCAGCCATTTTTCCTTCCTGATGCTAACTCAAATACTTTATTTATTTGGATATATAGTCATGAAGATCTATTGATTTTAGGCCAACATGTAAAAGGTCTAGACTGAAATATGTGCAAAAACAGTGGTTTTCGATTATATAAATTTAAGTCGAAGTACTACATATGGTCACATATTATGAGAGGAAGATCACAATCAATATGTCATAGGTGAAGGTAAAAAAAATCCAAATCAAGTGCTTTTAGGTTGTATTAAAGGGATTGCAACTTACTTGGATATGTGGTCACATATTATAAGAGGATGACAAAAAATATTCCTAATGATTTTCAAATCAGGTCATGGTCATTGAAAAAAAAAAATTGTGTGTCAGAGACAATATTAATGTAAAAATCATAATTTATAAGGGGAGGGGTATGTGAGCTTGCTTACTTAAGGTTCTTGGATTACATTTTTAAATATATTTGAGAAAGATTATGATAGACACAGTTGCATATTATAACTCTACTATTTCAAAAATCTACATTCTATAAATATCTGGTGAGTTCGTTGTGTTTCTTCTCTTTAAAATTGTATGTTCAATAAGCAATAATATTCATTTTATTGTAATATAGATTTTAAAAAAACTGGTGCAATAACAATGAATTAAAGTTTCTAGTTCAGCCTAAAACAATCCAGAAAAATCTGCATAAATCAGTTGTGCCAAATACACTACCTCAGTAGTACTGACAGAATGATTTATCAATATCACTTTCAAAATAAAATTTCATTAATGAGGACTGAAACAAAAGGTGCAAATTTTACTTTGGTTCAATGCCTTATATACATGATATATATATACTCTCAATAGACTAACAGACTATTGTTATATAGCTGCACAATGTTAAATTGGAAATTTTTACTAGTAATATAAGTATAAATTTATTATAAGGACAATATTAAAGTCTACCCCAGTAGATGGCTTTGCAATTTATATATTAAGACATATGTCAGTACTTATTATGAATTACAAATGTACTTGTTTAAAGCAAAAGTTCTTTCATTTAAAATTTGTTATTCAGAGGTCTGATAGCTCACTATACAGTATGGATGTTGCTCTTTGTTAAAACGTTTAGTTATCCAGAGGTCTGATAGCTCACTATACAGTATGGATGTTGCTCTTAGTTAAAACGTTTTGTTATCCAGAGGTCTAATAGCTCACTATACAGTATGGATGTTGCTCTTAGTTAAAACATTTTGTTATCCAGAGGTCTAATAGCTCACTATACAGTATGGATGTTGCTCTTAGTTAAAATATTTTGTTATCCAGAGGTCTGATAGCTCACTATACAGTATGGATGTTGCTCTTTGTTCAAACATTTTGTTATCCAGAGGTCTAATAGCTCACTATACAGTATGGATGTTGCTCTTTTTTAAAACATTTTGTTATCCAGAGGTCTGATAGCTCACTATACAGTATGGATGTTGCTCTTTGTTAAAACATTTTGTTATCCAGAGGTCTGATAGCTCACTATACAATATGGATGTTGCTCTTTGTTAAAACATTTTGTTATCCAGAGATCTAATAGCTCACTATACAGTATGGATGTTGCTCTTTTTTAAAACATTTTGTTATCCAGAGGTCTGATAGCTCACTATACAGTATGGATGTTGCTCTTTTTTAAAACATTTTGTTATCCAGAGGTCTGATAGCTCACTATACAGTATGGATGTTGCTCTTTGTTAAAACATTTTGTTATCCAGAGGTCTGATAGCTCACTATACAGTATGGATGTTGCTCTTTGTTAAAACGTTTTGTTATCCAGAGGTCTGATAGCTCACTATACAGTATGGATGTTGCTCTTTTTTAAAACATTTTGTTATCCAGAGGTCTGATAGCTCACTATACAGTATGGATGTTGCTCTTTTTTAAAACATTTTGTTATCCAGAGGTCTGATAGCTCACTATACAGTATGGATGTTGCTCTTTTTTAAAGGCAGTTATGTGACTTATAATTGTTTACATCCTGGTCCTTTAGTCTTTGCTAGATAATTGTCTCATTTATAGCAATCATACCATATATAATTATTTTTATATTTTAACACAACATAGATTTCAGACAAACAAAAATCCCTGGCTTAATTATTGAAAAAAAACAATTGGTTTTCATTTTTGATAATGAGGAAGCATACGTCAAATGTTCAGCAACTGTGATTGTAGGTATTTTTAATTTTAGTTTTGTTTATACAGATGCCGATCCAGGATTTTGAAAAAGGGGGGTTTGCGGGTCCCAAACTAGACAAAGTATGGAATGGGAAAGGTAATGAGTCTGGATTAACCATAAATGTAACTCCATTAAGAGGGCCTGAGTACCCGGGCTCCCCCTAACTCTGCCTCTGTTATATCCTTCAATGCATTCATAAAATTAATTATTATGTAATAATTGAATTAAACTACAAAAAATTGTTATAAACTGTATAACATTTTAAAGGTTCCATCATTTGCAAATGCTATTAAAATAAATATACTGAAAAGTGTGTGTGAGGCAGGGGCAAAACTATACTAAGCCTTGATTTAACATTGCACAACTGATGGCTTGTAAATTTGTAAGTAATATATATGCTATCCAAGTAAAACTATTATAACCACTGAAATGTAATCATGTTATATTATACTGCTGATACAGGTTACTGCTTCAGGGGCGGATCCAGGATTTTAGGTTTGGGGGGGGGGGGGCAAACTTACATATTTTTTAGGTAAAATTATCGAAATATCCTTTATTAAGCTTGGGACAACCCATGCTTTGCAAATTTTAGGGGGCGAACACCCGCCACGCCCCCACCTGCATCCGCCTCTGTGCTTATTTACTGTACATTATAAAACTATGTAATAGCTGAATAAAACTACAAAAAAATTGTTATAAACTGGGAATCATTTTAAAGGTTCCTTTCATTTGCAAATGCTATTAAAAAAAAATTTACTGAAAAGTGTGTGAGGCAGGGGCAAAACTATACTAAGCCTTGATTTAACATTGAACAACTGATGGCTTGTAACTTGTAAGTAGTATATGTGCTATCCAAATGAAACTATAACCACAGAAATGTAATCATAATGTTATATTATACTGCTTATTTACTGTACATAATAAAATTATGTAATAGTTGAATAAAACTACAAATCAAAGTGTTTGTAAGCACTGAAGGTTAAAGATTGCTTTAATTAATCCGTGGGAAGTAATATTAAAACATCGCATTGTATATATAAAGCTTTGGTTGAAGTTGATTCAACTAAAATTATGAACAAAGGAAGATAGCTCCAATTTCAAAGATTACAAAGACATAATTGATATTTTTATATGACCGCAAACAAATTTTGCAGTCGTAGTTTGGTATGACGTTGGCGTCGTCGTCCGAAGACACATTGGTTTTCGCACTCTAACTTAAGTTTAAGTGAATGGATCTCTATGAAATTTTACCATAAGGTTCAATACCACAAAAGAAAGATTGGGAATGATTTTGGGGGTTATGGTACCAACAGTTAAGGAATGAGGGGCCAAAAAGGGGCCAAAAATAAGCATTTTTGTAACTTCCAGACATAACTTGTGTGTTAGTGTATGGATCTCTCTGACATTGTACCACAAGGTTCCATATCACAAAGGGAATGCTGAGATTGAGTTTGGGGGTAATTGCCCAAAACGTTTAGGAATAAGGGGCCAAAAATAAGCATTTTTCTAGTTTCCAGACAATAACTTGTGTTCAAGTGTATGAATCTCTCTGAAATTGTACTGCAAGATACCATACCACAAAGGGAAGGCTGGGATTGGTTTTGGGGGTAATTGCCTCAAAATTTTAGGAATGAGGGGCCAAAAAGGGGCAAAAAACAAGCATTTTTCTAGTTTCAGGACAATAACTTGTGTGTAAGTGTATGGATCTTTATGAAAATTTTCCATTTTAAATTGGTTATTTCTGATTTATATATAAAAGCAAATAATAATGATATGGTTTGAATAGGTAAATTAAAAATTTTTAAGTTCTTAGACCACATTCATTCAGTGTCAGATACCTATGCTGTGTCAAATATTTAATCACAATCTAAATTCAGTGCTGTATCAAGCTTGAATGTTGTGTCCATACTTGCCCTAACTGTTCAGGGTTCAACCTCTGCAGTCGTATCAAGCTGCGCCCAGCGGAGCATTTTATTAGAATAGATATTAGATTACTGCAACTTGCACAAGTTATGTAATTTTCTTGACAAGTTTAACATCATTTTGTAACTTGAATATCTGATCATATATTTCATTGATACATTTCTGGAAATGTTCATTGATAGGATGTTCAGAATGTCTCAAAAGTAGTGATAAACCTTGGAAGATTTAGATATCAAGTCAGTATCATAGGGTTTTGATTGCATTTCAAGCAATCTTTACCCAAAAAATTGTTATAAACTGGGAATCATTTTAAAGGTTCCTTTCATTTACAAATGCTATTAAAAAAAAATGACTGTAAAATGTGTGTGAGGCAGGGGCAAAACTATACTAAGCCTTGATTTAACATAATTTGAACAACTGATGGCTTGTAATTTGTAAGTACCGTAATATATGTGCTATCCAAGTAAAATAATAACCACAGAATGTGATCATAATGTTATATTTTACTGCTGATACAGGTTACTGCTTATTTAGTCTTAGAACACTTTGAAAAAATGTTTTCTTATATTTGACATGCTTTCTATAAACAGTGTTTGAAACAATATGAACACATGACAAACTTTCACTAATAGATAATATTTTTTTTTGTTTTTTTTTTTTCAGGTGATCATACCATAGAATGTTCTGTTTGTTTACAACCTAGTATTTATCCTGTCCAGTTACCATGCCGACACATATTTTGTTTCCTATGTGTAAAAGGTGTGGCTAACAGAAGTAAAAAATGTGCATTATGTAGACAGGAAATCCCTGCTGATTTTTTTGCCAAACCTGTTTTAGTCCGAACTGAAGATTTAGATAAGACGATAAAATTTGATGATGAATATCAGTGGTTTTATGAAGGTCGTAATGGATGGTGGAAATATGATGATAGAACCAGCCAGGAAATAGAAAGTCGTCACAAAACAGGAGAAAAACTATTTGAATTGTTGATAGCAGGATTTTTGTATATCATAGATTTAGAAAACATGATTCAGTATAGGAGAAATGACAGATCCAGGAAGAGGAAAATGAAAAGGGACTTGATAAGTATACCTGATGTCAAAGGGGTAGCTGGACTTAAATTTGATAATGAAATCTCCAGTCGTTTAGGTGGTGATGGAGGTGAAGAGATACAATCAAATATCCAACCCACAACAATTAGTCCGGACACTGATGATCTAAGTGTCCCTAACAATACACCACAGACTCCAAATACCCCCGTGGATAGTCCCCCTAGTAGTGTTACGTCATCACAACAGGATCTCGCAGAACATTTACAGCAATTGAATATTTCTGGATCAAGTACAACTTCTCTGTAAGAATTCCTTCATCATGGAATAACAGCATTAAATATATGTTTACTGTATGTCAGATGCTTTATATTTTGTACATTTAATAGTGTGTTAATATTTTCCAGAATTTTATTTTACTATGAATATAATTTGTTAAAATGATATAGTACATTTTTAAAATACAAGACATGTATGTTGTTTTATTTGTAAAAATGATCAAACCTTGAAACTGAAAAGTTTATGATAATTTTATTGACTTTGATAACAAGGAGATATATGTAACAGAGAGTCGCCTCTAACACTCAGTAATTATGGTTTCCCTGAATCTGAACCAATTTGTATGCAGTCTTCTTAGCTTCTCACCTATTAAAATTCAATTATGAGTTTATATTTCTTGATCATAATATCTTTGATTTTTATTTTTACAAAAAGCAAATAGAATGCATTACTTGTGGATTTTTATTTTTACAAAAAGCAAATAGAATGCATTACTTGTGGATTTTCCAAAAAAGAATACAATGGAATTTTTTGATGAAATACCATGAAAAAATTACTAGGAAACAGAGATTGAATCTACAATTTGTATATGTAATACATGTGTATTGTACTGTTCCTTTTAATCTGTATTACCAGAAAAATTTGTTGCAATTCTTTATAACTGTAACTTTCACTCTCAATGTCAATACTATTTGAATTTTCTAACAACAAAATTAGTTTATAATTTTTTATGTACACTTTGATAAAATATTTTTTAGAACATATAAAAACACAAATGTACATGTAAAAATAAAGAGTGGACTATATGCACCTTTATAAGAAATCAGTTGAACATTAAAATCTTATATGGTTTATCGAATTTAGTAAGGTAGATATTTCAGAAATACTGATAAACTCTTAGATTTAAAGTAAATAGTGCTAAAATTGTTAAAAATGTTATTTTTTGTTATTTGTTATTATTTTCAGTGAAACCATTTTTGCTGACTTTACCCAGAAGTGTTATATGACTTATTGCCACAATTTTATCAGTGTTTCCAAATGATTTTTTTTCATATTTTTGTTTTTTTCCTCAGAAATTGCTTAATGCGCTTGATTTTTCTTGTGTGATCAGAAAATCTTGTTTTTCAAATATGTTGAAATGAAAAACTAAGAGCTATTCCAAAATTAAACATATGGGAGGCACTTCTTTTAGGCCCCAACCAGCCATAATATAAAATTTTCATAGGACTTATAATTCTTCACAAGTTGTTAGGAAAATGCAACAACCCACAATTAATTTTTTTATTGCCTTCCATCCCCCTACCAGGATCAATTTTGAAACAGCCCTGAACAAAATTAAATTAAAATACAATATATTATTTGAATTTCTAACAAGTAAAGTAAAAGGGAAATGAATAATGATAATGATGAGGCTGTATGATATGTCATATATGTTAATTTCACAAAAAAACAGACAGTTTCTGATAAAATCAATTCACTCAATTCCAAGTGTATTATTCAGTCAATATATTTGGTTTAAGACAAAAGAAACAACATTATTTTTCATCATTATGGCATTTTTTTGGGGCATATTCAATTTATGTCAGTAGGTTGAGCAAAGGGATGATTATCTTTTAAGTGAAATAATTTCAATATCGCTCCAAAGAAAAATGCAGTGAATGATAAAATATAGAGTACAATGATGAATATAAGAATACATTGATGATTATACAATTAAGTGTGCCCAATCACCTTGTGAAGTAAGGATGCAGGGATCCAGTTTGCCCATTAAATGCAGAAATAACGTAAAAAAATAGTGTTATAGTAAATGAGGATATTCTGGTAATGTAAATGATATGAATTTAGCATATTGCACATGTTGTAACGGGTTTTGTAATTCACTATTTCAAAATCTAAAGGATTACAGAGAATTTTATTGTTGGTGATCGTGAGTCATTGGTAATTGGGTTGAATTTTCATTGTTTAAGACATTTTTTACCAATCACAATATGTTGGTGTACACTAGGAAAATATTAGAGAATGCTACAGATTCTAAAAGGGTGAGTTGGGTATATAACCTCAAAGGTCACTATAACATGAACACTGACTTAGCTTCATGCTGCTTTGTAGTAAAATGGAGCAAATGATGTTAATATTTTAATACTTCACACTTTTGAAACTGTAGATTTGTGTAATAGAATCTCATATGATTTTTAAAAAATTGGACTGAAGGAAAAACAATGATATTATTTATAATGTATTTGTGTGTACATGTAAACTGTGATAGTTTTTGGTTAATTACAGCATCTTCTATATTGTGCCATATAAGCTGGTTATAAGGGGGAGTTTAGAATTGGAGAAGTTTGAAAATTTTGTACTGTGCAAACTTCAGAAATTTTTGGCCTTATACATTTTTATAAGCCCCTTTACGGGACGTATTATGGTATACCGTTGACCGTCTGTCAGTCTGTCCGTCCATTCGTCATCAACATGTCGGACATTAACTCAAAAAAGCTTTAACCAATATGCATGAAACTTTGGTGAATTGTTTATATCAATTGACGTGAGCTCCCTTTCATTTTTTATTAATTTCAGATTTACCGTTTCTGAGTTTTGGGGTTTTATTCATTAAAGAAGGGGGGATTTTCCAGTTTTCCGACAATAACTCAAGAATGCTTTCACCAACTTGCAAGAAATTTTGGTGAATTGTTTATATCTATTGACATGAGCTCCCTTTCGATTTTTATAAATTTTAGATTTTACGTTTCCAAGTTACAGGGTTTTATTCATATCCAGCTGCTCTCAGTGAAGCAGTTTATTTGCCTTGATGTTAGCAGTGGGGCATTAACTGCCAAATTCCAAAAAATATTCTTTTGTGTAAATATAGGCATATCATTATTTTATTCTCCCATCATCAGGGACTTGCAATAGAAAATGGCATATAATGCTTTTTTAAATCAAATTTTAATTGAATAGTGAAGAAGCTTGAAAATTAAGAAAAAATGATGATAAAATAATATGAAATAACATAGAGGTATTCGGCATAATGTTATGCTATGGTGATATTTAGTTATCTGTATGTACATGTGTTGTAGTATATTAAATATGTTTTTATTTACTAAAGTTGAAAATTCTAATAAAAATATTTATTCCCTCCTTGCGTGTGTTATGTTAGCAGTCTGGTTTTGTGCCATACAATACTTTAGAGATCACACCATGTTTTGTCAGTGGTTTATATGTTCTGGTTAAGATCTGATATTGAATATTAGCATCCTGACTAATTCCAAATCCCTTATTTTGAACCATCTTCAGTCCTTGATGTTCGCCCTAAGTCCCCGAGGTCATGTGTTATATCCCAAGCCAAGGAAACTTAAAAATTGTTATATGCTGCCTCTCTGCTAAGCAGGATGTATTTATGAGTTAGAGTAAAGAATGTTTGGCATGCAGTGAGAATAATGTATCTATGTAGGTTGACATCTCCTCCTGCCAACTGTGTTTCCTTAAAAACTAGCATGGCTCAGTTGTTTGGTCTAGTACAAAGCAGGGTTCATAATCATATAACATTACAGTTACATTTTTCTTGTCCTGATCAGAAAGTCATATTTGCAACTGGATGTTATACATCAACTATCCATACAACAATGCTTGCCTTGAGTGTAGGAATGATGGGGTTAATAATCACTGCTTAGATCAATTCAAAGACTTAAAAATAGCTTTTTGCTCCTTTCAACTGACAAGGCAGGATTTAGGTCTCTAAGGTGAAAGAGCAACAAAAGGATGGTTAAAGACAGAATAAAATGTCCCATAAGAGGGACTTGGTTCTCCTTCAGACTGTTACTTTGAGACATAGATAGTAGTATGCTAAAAATGTTGTCCTGATTATGGGTTAAACATAATTTGCAAAACATTACATGTTTGTCTATCAAAACTATTTGACAATGAGTATAAAATTTTGCAAACCAATTTTAAAATGTATATCTTTCTGGTGGACTTGCAATTAGATACAAAAGTTGTAATGATTCTGTTCTTACAGTAATATATTACAAGTGAGAGTAACTAAAACAACTAGACACAAAAAAAACAAAACAACATTGACCAAAAAAGGGAAAAGTATTGGATATTATTTACATTTGTAAACAACACCATAAACTAGAACTTTGGGTGACAAAAACTCATACCATAGTCAGGAGAGATATTAGGTGTTTTGGAAGTGTATAATGGGAAATTCTTTTGGATTGAAGCACACTAGGTGAAGACAAATAATTGCTGTTGCCTTGTTTGAACACAATTAATATTGACATAAAAAGACAAAGAAAACTGAATTAGCGACAGTCAAACCTTAACATGTTAAACCCCGCCACATTCTGTATGTATGTGCCTGTCCCAAGTCAGGAGCCTGTAATTCAGTGATTGTCGTTTGTTTATGTGTTACATATTTGTTTTTCGTTAATTTTTTGTATATAAATTAGGCCGTTAGTTTTCTCGTTTGAATTGTTTTACATTATCATTTCGGGGCCATTTATAGCTGACTGTGTGGTATGGGCTTTGCTCATTGTTGAAGGCTGTATGTTGACCTATAGCTGTTAATTTCTGTGTCATTTGGTCTCTTGTGGAGAGTTGTCTCATTGGCAATCATACCACATCTTCTTTTTTATATTAACAATTATCAATTACATAGATAGTCAGGTTAGGATGAAGTTAAATGGTTATGAAAATGTAATTGTGGGTGTTTCTGTTTGAAAAGAAGGAAGTGATTTTTGTTACATCAAATTGGCACTGTGAGGGTTAGATGTGTATCCCTTTCAACAAGTATTTGTGTATGCAAACCCCAAATACATATTTTAGACATTTGTATAATTACTTGTTTACTGAACAAATATAATAATTCTCAATTCTATTCAAGAAAATGAGCTTTCACAAATGTTTATCATAGTTTATGTTTCAATGTTTTAACGACTTTAACATTTATGCATTTTCCTGTACAATGCTTATGTTCTTATGTCACAATAAGGGTCAATGGTTCAATGATGTCATTTACACAGATTGACCTCAGGTAACTCATTCATAAAAAGCATACATGAGAGTATGATTCGAATGGCCCAAACAAATAATGAAGTTGCTGATCAGCTGACATACAATATACAATATATTCCTATTTTACCACAGGTGTGTTATATTAGAATATCTAGATTTATATGGACCACCTGAGGTCATATTAACTAAGTATTGTTAAGTGCATCTGTATCTGTTGTTAAAGGTAGTATTGGGGACTAATAAAATAAATGACAGGAATTTTTCATACTTCGCAAAATATAGTTCATATTGTGCCATTTTCAAAAATATAGTAAAATGGAGAAGATCTCCAAATTTGTTTGCAATCTCCTGGTTGTGAAAAATTAAACATTTTGTAAGGATTATACAAGGAAAGGCATTATAGAATGAAAACTTATTGACAGAATTATGAAATAATATATAAGCTACAATATGAGAAAGAAAAAATTACTGCAGATTACTTAAATAAACTAAATTACCTTATTTGTCTCCCCTTTTAAGGCTTAAGTTTATTTGTTTATGTATTCTATATTTGTAAAATAAAATTAATAATAATATAAAATAACATAAAGTTCTTCATTTAAATGAAAAAACTTACAAATGTGTTACATTCCTGCAAAATATGCTAATTTTATTAAAAACTGGACCTATTGTTTGTGCTAGTTCATGATCAAAGATGGCAAAAGACAACCATACTACCTCAAGTTGACTTGTTCTGGCATTGTTGTCTGGAGTTTTTGGAGTTTGAGTTGATGAATTGTTATGTACAATTGATATCACTAAGAATTGCTGGTATTATTGCAAATAATAGGAAGACTAATACCTAAATGTAGTTTTGCAAAATGTCTCTCTAGTCCTCTACTATTGTATGTTTTATCTTTTTTTTTTCTCAGGGAGCTAATATGACAAACTGCAGTGGTTAAAAACTGAATTTATTAAAATCTCAAATTTCAATGAAGGTCATAAACAATTCAAATCTGTATAAAAATAATATGTCCAACAGTAATCAGGTTTGTATTAAAATCTTCATACCAGCCTTTAAGATAAAATGTCATGTTCTACATGTAGTAAGATTAAAAGGACAAAATATGAAGCTACAACAATCTGTTATTATACCATTTAAGTTACATGTATTTAAAATGTTTTCATGACAATAGCACCAAAATACAATGAAACACCACATTGTAATTGCACATATTTAAAATGGCTGTTTTTCAAAAATGCAATGGGTGACCTTGTTCTCGAGTGTTTAACCTTCATATTAAATAGACAACATCCTACTCTCATAGTAAACTACTGAAATATGTCTGACATAGATTGAATGCAGGTAGCAGAATATATTTAGTGCCTGTCAGTTAACCTTTACCTGTGACCTTGAATTAAAATAAGAGGTATAATCTCAATGCCTAATACAAACAATTAAATACTAGCCACTGTTTGAATAAACCAAAAGAAATGACTACCATAATACAGGGATCAAAACTACAGACCCCTGGAAAAGTAAGCCAGTGCTCTTATTAACTAATTGAGGGCAGATATATATCTTATTAAGAAGATATCCATCACTACACATATACACAGGTTGCTCTAAAGGGCATAACTCCCACTGATTCTATGATATCCTTACATATGACTAATTAAGTGGGGAATGTGTCCATGAGACACAGATGATGCCCCCGCTTGCATTTAACATCATAAAGGGACATAACTCAAGAACTGTAAAAGTGACGCTACCCAAATTTGTACTTGGTCTGAGTTTTGTAGTAATAAGCATTGTGTATAAGTTTCATAACATTTAGTTGAGGCAAACTTTGTTAGAGAACGGAAACGAAAAATTCAGCATTTTTTCTATTTGTAAAGGGGCATAACTCTAGAATGGTAAAAGTGATGCCACCAAAATTCAAACTTGATCTGTGTTTTGTGGTAATAAGCATTGTGTATAAGTTTCATAACATTTGGTTGAGGCAACTAAAGTTAGATAACGGAAACCAATTTTGGGATTACATACATACAGACGGACAAGGGTAAAACTTAATGCCCCCTCTGCTATGGAGGGGCATAAAAAAACAATGAACTTCAAACTGTCATACCAACTGTTTTCTCTTGGAAGATTTTTTAAATAGTGTCAAATGCTTTCATTACATTATTACTACAGAATTCTGTGATCACTTCCATAAAACATTCATAAATATGATAGATAAAATATACAATTCAGTTAAATCTATAACAATAATAAAATAAGACTAGTTGAGTGAACCTAGTGGCAGTCATTTTATATTTGATCAACAAATTAATATCTCAATAAAGTTAATTATAAATCATACATCTTTAATAAAATGATATTTTAAAGCACAATTATTTTTAAATTCAAACATACTGACCTGAGTATAAAGAGATTCATAGCATTCCCTGAAATTATGGTTTCAAATTTTACAAATAATAAAAATGGAAATAGTTGCTCTCTGTATTGTTTTTTTTTTATTGGGAAAGACAAAAATGGATGACAAGGAGACTTACTCACTTGGCATTTTTGGCTAAAAACTGATACAATATAATGGATATTGTTTTGGCCAAAATTTTGTCAGGCTGATAATTTTTGCTAGTAGTTTTCAAGATTATATGCAAAATTAGAAAAAAAAATGGGTTAAACTGTGATTTAGGGGCAACAACTTCTGTTAGGAGTTGATTGACAATTTCATTCTTGATTTATTTGTAGATCTTGTGGTGCTGATCTTTTTTTTGCTGTTAAAAGTTTCAGTTTAACTATCATAATTTTCGAGATATTTCATAAAACATTAAAAATTTATCAAAAAATCATTACTTCGGAAAATAACTCTTATAAGGAGTAGATTGACAGTTTCAGTCTTTAAATAATTGGTAGATCATATTTTGCCATTTAGTTTCCCTCAATTTCCTATTGTGTTCACCAAAAATGCAAAACATGGAAAAAAAACCTCAATGAAGGGAAATAACTCCTATAAAAGATATCATCTGATTATTGCTATTTAACAGTTTCTCTCTATTTCTCCTATAGTTTCTAACAAAACATAAATTTCTGTGAATGATATTTTCCTAAATGCCACATCTTTTTATTATTATTCAAA